GAGCGGGTGCGTGACTGGAAACCAGAGAACCCACGTGTGGTCTATCCCGCTATCCCGACGCGCGGAAGCACGAGCCGACGTTTGCGTCGCAGCTACCGTTTCTTGAACGCAGAAGAAACCAAACCTCCAACCTCTAACAGCTGCCTTAATCCGAGCCATTTCACTCGGCTCTCAGGAGAGAGACTCCCTCAGCCTCCCGGAAAAGGCAGGAAATCCCATTCCTTTTTTACACCTGTCTTCCCCTGTTCTCTCCCCACTCACCTCTTCTCAGGAAGGAGGCCCAGCGTTTTCCCACAGTTTTTAGGATGAAAGACAACAGCGTCGAGCGGGTTTTCCCTCCTGCAAAACGAGGCAAGCGCAGAGCGGCTGACGCAGCAGGCAGGGGAAGGCTGCGAAGCTTGACGGTCCCTGCCGGCAGTTCCCAGGGAACCCACCCTAACTCTAAAGGCAAGAATTCCCAGCAAACCTGCCGGCTACGGAACACCGGGACAGCTCTAGCGCTTCCCGTTTCGGAGACGAGTCGGAAGGCGGTCGAGCCCCGAACAGCCACCGAAGGGCCTGAGCTGCCTCTGCTTTCCCAGCGGGACCGCCAGCGCGAAGCGGAAGCTCCCGGGAGCCACGGGTCTGGCAGACACACTCACCTGCAGACGGCGCCGATGGTGAAGCCGGGAGGAAGAGAAGTCGGCAGGTCCTTCAAGGAGTGAACCACCAGGTCGACTCTGAAAAGGAGAGGACAGGGAGGGGTGAAGCGATGGGCAAGCTCCCGCGGCGCCGACCAGAGGCCTGCGGGTCGTCCCAGACAAGTGAGAGCCCACCCCGGGAACCAATTTGGAGCAGAGGGAGGTATTTCAGGATTCTACAGCTGGAACGACTACAGAATTCCAGTGTTACTCCAGAAAAGCCACCTCACCCTTCCTCTGCATCTCCCCTCCCGCCTGTAAAATCAAGACAACACCTTCCAGCCCCGACACGTGACAACAACCGGGCTGAGCGAGGGGGAGACGCTGGAGACGTTCGCACGGAGAGACTCATGACAACCACTACGTCGTCTGGTACTACGCTTCCAACGGAAACAAGCAGCGCGCCCCGAAGCGACGGCTACCCGCTTCGCTACGAGACACACCGCCCAGGGCTCCAGCGCTACGGACTTTCCTTGGAAACACCAAGCCATTTCCCACCGTTTTCCACAGTCCTAACCAGGGAGGTCCCAGCTGACTGGGGGTTGGCCAACATGACACCCATCTACAAGAACTGCAGGAAGGAGAATCCAGGGAACTACAGGCCTGTCAGTCTGACCTCAGAGTCAGGGAATGTTATGGAACAGATCACCTCGAGTGCCATCACACGGCACGTACAGGACAACCCGGCGATCCGGCCCAGCCGGCAGGGGTTTGGGAAAGGCAGGTCCTGCCTGCCCGACTCGACCTCCCTCTGGGACAAGGTGACCGCTGAGTGGACAAGGGCAAGGGTGTGGCTGTGTCTGCCTGGACTTCAGTAAAGCCTCAGACACCGTCTCCCACACCACCTCCTGGAGCAACGGGCTGCTCACGGCTCGGATGGGAGCACACCTGGCTGGATAAAATCCTGCCTGGATGACCGGGCCCAAAGACTGCGGCGGAATGGAGTTCAGTCCCGTTGGCGACGGGTCACCAGCGGAGTTTGTTCCCCAGGACTCAGCGCTGGGTCAGTTCTGCCGAGTAACTTTATCCATGACCTGGGAGGGGGGGATCGAGGGCACCCTCGGTCAGTGTGGATCCGCCCGAGGGCAGGACGGCTCTGCAGAGGGATCGGGACAGGCTGGATCCACGGGCAATTGGATGAGGTTCAACCAGGCCAAGTGCCGGGTCCTGCCTTTGAGCCACAACAACCCCCAGCAGCGCTACAGACTGCGGGATGAGGGGCTGGGAAGGTGCCCAGCAGGAGACAACCTGGGGGGGTGGGTCGACAAAGGCTGAACACGAGCTGGCGTGAGCCCAGGTGGCCAGCCGCATACTGGTAGGCCG